CGCGTCCTCACCAGAGGGCCCATAGGCCGGCTCGATGGTGGGCTAGGCTGCGCGCGAGGGAGCTGGGCTGCGGCGGGAGCAGAGGTGGCCTCGCGCGGGCGAGTGGCGCTCGTCCACGCGGGCGCTGGACCGGTCAACACGGGGCGGTGCTCGTTCCTGGGCAGAATGAGAAGCAGGGCGCGGAGGCGTTCATCCTCCTCTGGACGCAAGGGAGGCAGCACCGCGAAGCAGGGGAGCAACAGAGGGACTTGGTGGGGCGAGGGCGCATGGAAACCGGCCGGATCTGGCAAGACGGCAGGAGCGCGGGGATGGCAGAGCTTGGCGCGGATCCAAGGCGGCGATGTCGACCTACAGAGGGTGTCGCGGCGGGGTCAGAGAAGCTCAGAGAAAGGCAAGCGGGAGGAGAGGAAAGGAGCAGGGGCTCGTCGACGGGACCTGCTGGCGGGGTCCGCCGTGGCGTTGCAGCGTCTTGGGTCTCCGGCAAGGCAGCGGGGCCGGACGGAACCAGAGATGGAGGGAGTCGGCGGTGGAGAAGCTCCAGGCGGCGTCGCTGTCTCCTGTTTGAGCAAACAGAGAGGGAGAGATGTGAGGTGAGGGAGAAAGACAGTGAAGGGAGAGGAAGGAGGTGGGTGCGGGAGCAACCTGGTTCATGGATCGTCGGTGGTGGAGCTCGCCGGCAGGGCGGCTGTAGTCGAGGCCAGGCGCTGGAGCCGAGGGGCTCGAGGAGCTCCTCCCCTTGGTGCTGGACGCGCACGGAAAGCGGGGACACTCGGGTAAGAAGCTGGTTGCAGGCGCGGGAAGGAGGAGGCTGCGACTTGCTGGTGGTTTGGGTGGCGCGGAAATCATGGTAGTTGGTTACAGGCTGTGGTTGGAAGGGGGTGGATCTGAGATGGATGGTGGTTGGCTCGGTGGGGAAGACGAGGAGGAGACCATGTGGGTTGGCGGCGGCGGGGAGAATTTGATGGATGGATGGGACGTGGCTAGGGTTAGACTATATATAGGTAGGGGATTAGGGTAGGGTTAATCCGGTCCGTCCGATCATAATCGGGCGATCGAGAATAACTAGGTTAGAGAGTCCAAATAAAAAAACGGAGATGTTTTATAGATGTTAGGGGATGATCCAGACTCATTGGTAACGACAGAGAGGGTCAGGTTGGGCACAACTTTCGGATGCGCGCGAGGGGTCTGAGTAAAGTGTAGAGAGAGTCAAACGGTCAGACAAGAGGGAATCGAAACCCGGTTGGACTCGGATCGGCCAATGAACGCAACAGAGAGAAGCGAGGATCGACAACTACGAGCGGATGCAAGTTTTAAGAAAACAATGCCGATGTAATGCAAATGATGACATGAGATGAAATGCATGACATGAACAAAATGCAAAACGAAAGACAAAAGCCCAACCACGGAGGAAAATAACATATCACATAGCCGAAAATGTCAAGAGTCGGAGTTACAATTATGGAAAGTTACATCTGGGGCGTTACAATATGCTTGGAGAAAAGCCTCTTCCTTTCCTCTTTGATTCGTGATGACCTGACCGTCTAGTACAATGGCCAGAATGAAGTTTTGGGTCTTCCTACCATTGGCCACCAGATGGAATAACTTAGAGTTTGCATCCCCTTCCGCAAGCCAGCGTATCCGGGACCTCTGTCGCGCGATCGTCCTTTCCAGTGAAGCCAGACCCAAAACCATCTGCTTGAGCATACTGCGCAGCCATCTCTCTTCTGGGGTAAGAATACGCGAGTCCTGAGCACAATCAAGTCTGAGAATGACCAACTTGGCAACCCCAATCTGGATTTTGATATTCCCCACTTTCCTTTGGCTCCAAGATGTGAGAGCTCTTGCCATGTTTCTCAAGAGGACATCCAGACGGTGAAATGGCTCCACAATCAAAGGGTTACACCTCCAGGCCTCTTGGACCACCTCCAAAAAACCCTCTTGCTTTGTCCAGAACAGCTCAAAGCGAAATCTCCTCTTCGTGTCCATACGCTCCTCTAGTGAGAGATACAACGGGCAGTGGTCAGATGAGGCAGTCGAGAGAGCTTGCAGCAAGCAGTCCGGGTGCTCAACCTCCCAATCAACTGAAACAAATGCCCTGTCTATCTTAGTGAGGGTAGGCACCTCCCTCTCGTTGCTCCACGTGAATTTCCTACCATGCAAGAACAACTCCTTAAGCGCGTTATCATCAACAAATCTCTTGAACCTCCCCATCATCCTGCGGTCCAGCAGCGTGTTGTTTTTGTCCATTGCATGTAAGATCATGTTAAAGTCGCCGATCACCAGCCACAGACCCGGGCAAAGCATCCTTCTCTCCGACAACTCCTGGAGGAATTGAATTTTCTGTTGGTCCTCTTGTGGACCATAAACCACGGACAGCCACCACGGGCTACCCTCCCTCGGCACAACATAACCAGTCAGCGAGAAGGAATCCAGAGCAAGGTTAGTAATCTAGACACGTGATGAGTCCCATCCTACCAAGATCCCTCCTCTAGTCTTAGAAGCCGGTAGGTACGCAAAACCATCGTAAGATGGACCTAAGCATTGCAGGATAATGTACTGGTCAACATGATCCAGTTTAGACTCCATGATACAAACGATTGCCACACGCAATGAACCAACGAACTCCCTCAACGCCTTCTTTTTGACAGGGCTGTTTATACCCCTCACGTTCCAGCATACCACATCCATAGGATTGCACGACATTGGACAATAGATTCTCCATGTCCTAGCCTTGGCATGCTCCTACCTGCGCGTTCACCATGGCCGCAGACTCCAACTGGGTTGACAGGTTGGTAGGAACTGCCTTCCCAAATATTGTCGCGATCGCCTTCAGTTGTTGCTCTTGTAGTGGCGAGTCGAACACGGAGTGGAGCAGACCAAGCACGTCGTCCGAAACTGCCAACTCATCGCAAGCCACCCCAATGCCTTTAAAACCACTGTTTCAACCACCGTTGCTTTGGTCTTCCTGCCTCCCCCAACCGAGCTCACAACCGACCTAGTAGTACGCCTTGGAGTGAAAGAGTCTTGGCCCGGTCGCACGCCACGGGCACCCTCGATCTCCTTGAGCAAAGGCGGAGCGAGCTTCTTGAGCAGACCGACGTAGAAGGACTTGATATTGCCCAGAGCAACCAATTCCTTAGCTGTAACATTTGCATGCATTTCATCCGACTGCATAGAAGGTGCCACCAACAAAGCCAGAGGCGCAACAACGCATGGCTCTCCCACGTACGTAGTCACGTCCGTGCATGGATGCACTGGATCAACCTGGGGGGCTGTGCCCAACGAGCCCAGGCCTGGAATAGGGGACCCGCTCAGCTCAGTAGTCGGTGCCCAACAATCAGCATGTGCGTCCGCCGAATCTCCCACCTCTGGGTCCCGGTTCGATAGGATCAAATGCGCCGGCTCCTGTGTAGCCCGACCCACCCCAGCATTCTCATCCAACAACGGCGAGACCGAAGTAGGGAGCATAAGATCCCGCGTCCCTTCCACCTGGTCCCCCTCACCTACCACCGACTGGACAACGGCATCCGAGGCTGGGAGCGCCAATGGGAGCCCTGCTGTCACAGTTGGCCTCTCCTGGTCCACATGCGACAGACCGCCAGCATCCAAAGCAGGGAGGACAGCTCCAGCAACCGGACAAGCCACGGGATCCGAGGCAATCGTCCTATCCACCTGCCCAGCCTGCGCATCTCCACATCCAACCTCCTTCGCCTTGTCGCTGTCATCTAAAACGCCCAACTCGCCACTTTTGACCAATTCCAACTGACCAGCTGCCGTCTTCTTAGCTGCCTGCTCCACCAAAACTGTCGACGCCACCAACCTGCTCTGCGGACCGTTGGGGGTCTGGCCCGGGTCGCTCACCACCACACGATTGGGCACCTGTTGATGCGGCCCCATCAGGCCCTGCGACGTCATGGGGGGGGCAGCCTCCAATCCTACGGGCCCACCCGCCCCGCGAGCGCCTGCTTGTATGAGCAGCCATCTCCGCCCGTCGCCGGTGCGCCGCCGAACCGATCCAATCCACGGTGGTCCCGAACACTTCTCGACCAAGATTGCACTACCCAATCTCCTCCAGCGAACGAGCCATGCGAGCTATCTGGCAACCCGCTCTGCCCACTATCACTGTCCGCGTTCGAGCTCCTTCTCCACATCTCTAGCGGCGAGAAATCCCTCAGCCTTCCAATGTGGATCAGCGTGGGGTATTCCAACAGCTGCCGGAAGGATGGCCGTCGCTCCGCAGGATCCGCCGCCGGTTCCGGTACCCAGAGCCGGCGGCTGACCGGGACCTCATCCGGGTCCACGCACCACGCCCTCAGCTTGAAGAGGGAGAGATCCTCGCGGTTCTCCGTCTCCTGCGCCAGGCAGTCGATCAGGCAGGAACTACCGAGTAATTCTGCCGCCGTCTCCTTGTTCCATGCATGGGAAGGCACCCCCTCGATCAAAATGTCAGCTTGAACACGCATGCACCTCGCCGTCGCCTGAGCCTGGCGCAACCAAGGCTTGATATGGAGCTGCACGCCCTGGTGCAGAACCACCGGCTGCGCCAGAGCTCTGTTCCTGAACTCATGAGAAGCAAAAACGACGAGGAAGTCCTCCGGGAAAAACTTGTGAACCGAGAATCGATGCCTGGGAATGTCCAATTGAGCCGCAAGCACCACCGTCGCCTCCTCGCATGACACCGGGACCGTTCCAATAGTCGTACGATGGGAAACAGACCGGCCGAAAGTTTCGACCGGCGCACCGGCGCCTAGCTTGCGCCTAGCGCTGCCCTTATTATTAGGGGTAGATTTAGCATTTTAAGTCGCAGAGAGTAAAAGTAAACTAGTGATTGCCAGCTAAGCTAAACCCTCTCACCACGCACACCCCACGAGGCGAAAACTTCAGCGTTTTCCGCCTTTCCTCCCTCGCACGGTCGTTTCCCTCCCAGCTTCGACTCCTCCGCACCAAAACCAAAATCCAGCAGCAAGCCAAGCCAACCCAAGCCAGGCCAGGCGTCGCGGATGGCGTCGTCGGCGTTCAAATCCACCACCCGCCGCAATCTCCACGGCTCAGCCGACCGCCCCGTGCAGCCACCGCCCCACTGCCCCCGCCGCTCCCGCAGCGTCACCCCTGCGCCCCGCCGCGAACGTCTCCTCGGGGATTACGCCGGGACTACCCGCACCAATCCGCTCTTCGACCGCGGGGGGAGGGCCTTCTCTCCACCTCCGCCGCCGGAGGACTCTGGGGACAGAGGGAGGAAGGAGAGCAGGGGTCGCGGCTCAAGGAAGGCGCGGTCGGTGTCCGTCGCGCCGCCGCAGCGTCGGCGCGCTGCCACCTCGGCGCCGTCGTCGGCAGGCACTGATGGCGGTGGTGGAGGCAGGGCTTCGCGGGCGCGGCCGGTCGTCGGTGAGGCACGGCCGTGCCGTGGCTCCGTGGTTGGTGACTTTCTGCTTTGAGCTGGGAATTTTCATCTCCGATAAAGATTACAGCTTCACTTTCGTCTGGAAAATTCCGCACCTTTTCTGGCTGCTCTATAAATATGCAAAAAGATATAGTTGGAAAAAAAAAGATAAGGTTGAGTACTAGTACTGTAGTACTTTTTTTTGACAGACTTCTATTTCTCAAATTATAGCCATGTCGTTTACAAGAGTTGAGAAATAAAATCAGGGATAGAACTTTTCCAAAAATTAGATGATCTGGTGCTATAAGAGTGGCCAGCCAAGCAATCAGCTAACGAGTTTGCTTCCCGAAAACAATGAGAAAACAAGACTTTTGCATAGTAACAACTCACAAATCAACTGATTGTATTCTGCAATCGTTGCAACCTCCTCACCATGGTAATCATCCTGTTTTTGCATGGACTCCGCCGAAAAGCTAGAGTCAGACTCAATATGAGCAATGTTGCATCCAATCCTCGCTGCCTAATAAAGACCATGCTTGATGGCTAAAATCTCCGCTGAATCAGCACTACTCAGTACTCACATGTGGTAACACCCATGTTGCAGCTGCTATAAACTGGCCACGGTCATCACGTGCAATAGCCCCTATAGCACCATCAAGAGATCGTTGGAAAAAGGTTGCGTCCACATTAACTTTAATAGGAGTAGAAACCCTGCTAGGCCTTTTCCACAACTAATTATTTTTTCGGTCAGAACCTTTAGGAGATGAAGCTCTAATATAGTTTTTAGGTAGCGCCTTGATATCAAGTGCAGTTCTGCCCGGGGTTTGTATCATTTCTCCGTTCACATTTGGCGTCTTTGCCACCACATATACCAAGCTGCAACAATTACCAATTCCGATATAGCGAGTTCACCCGCTCCCGGTGGTAGCTTTGACAGTAGTACTTTCTACTTCTGTCTACCAGGCCCTCGGGTGGTGCTGGACTGCTAGTTCCCCGCAAAAAAATAAATAAAAATGAATCGAGTGGCTCTTTGTCAGATTGCTGTATTATCTGTCCAGATGAGTCTAGGAATGTTTATGCCGTGTTAGCTTGGCGATTCGTGTTAGTAATGAAGGATTCTGTTCTTGTTAAATTTAACAGACAGATGCAGAAACCGTGGATTTATCAAGCAAAATGCAGTCTTGGAGGAGTAGTAATTCAGTTCTAAGTTCGTCATACGTATCTGTCAATGTGAGTTGCCTTCTGCTATGGACCTTAGATTGAACCTTTTTGTACATGACATCTTCAACAGTGCCTTGGTACCAAACTTCACTCACACATTGGCTGATCCACACTGGTTAGTATTAGTAACCATACTGTGTCACTGTACCTGAGTACCGGGGCGCTTATTCCTTAATGAAAGCGTTGCTGCGGAAGAAGTCGACTTAGTCGTAGGTGTTTAGTCCATATCTTGTAATGGTTCGTTTTAAAAAAAATATATCTTGTAATGGTTCGGCCGTGGTTGCCTTTGTTTTGTACTCTGATTAATTAGTAATAAGGATTGTTGTGTGCATCACAATGATGCAGAACCCGGGGGTTTAACCTCCTTTTCGGGAAAAAAGAGTACCAGTGCTAGGTGCCGAGCACCCGTCGCCGGCGTCAGAGAATGAAAGAATTGTCAGTGTTTTATATGGAAAGTTAGCACATTATCTGGCTTATCGGAGAGATTAGATAGAAATAGAATATGATCAAACTGGATCATGCATTTTGTGGATAAAGGCATTGCTGCCCTGTTTGTTTGAGCTTCAGGGGCCAGATTTAGCTTTGCTAGTAAAGCTGAATTTGGAATCTGAAACAAACAACTGTTTCGTTTGCCAGTGAAGCTGGATCTGGGACCAGATTCATCTTTGCCAGTGAAGCTGGATTTGAAATCTGAAACAAACAGCTATTTCGAATCAGCTTTGCCGGTGAAGCTGAATCTGGGTTCGGGCCATTTTCAGTGCAATTGCCTGAAGCACCTCAAAGTGTACTTCAGTGGCAGCTTTGCCAGTGAAGCGAATCCACATGTGATTCGAATCCAATCAAAGGTTATACAAACAGGCTGCATAATCAATTTTGCCAGTGAAGCGAATCCATAGGTGATTCAAATCCAATCAAAGCTGAAACAAACGGGGCCTGCTTATACTCTTTAAAGAGAACTAAGTCTCAGTAGGGGTTTGTAGTATGAAACTATGGAAGTAAGAAGAACATAACATGGAGTTCACATGCAGATATTTATTGACCAAATGCGTAATTTGAGACTATGTTTGATATTCTTCTTCTAAGTTGTTCACTGTGTTATTATTACTGTTTCATCAATAGGCCATCTCACAAAGGAGCCATTCAACTGTTCTGGAAATTCCTCCTGAGTTTGATCCGGATTCTGCTGAGTTTGTCTCGGATATAAGTGATTATGCAACAGGATTCAAACGGAGAGATGTTGTGGAAATTCTTCTTGAGTTTGATCCAGATGCTACTCAGCTGGTTTCAGTCGAAAGGCACAATGCTACCAAGCTGCAATGGGAGGGAATAGAAATCCCTCTTGAGTTTGATCCAGATTCTGTTGAGCTGGCTCCTGACATCACTGAGTACACATCAAAACTGAAACAGGTCTGGAAGTATTATGCGTATTGTGCTAGGTCTTCAGTTCTATGCTGTCGACAAATATAAACATTTTGTTACTTGTCTGTAGTCACATGAGCGTGCTCGAAAGCTGCGGGCAGATTTGGCTGTTGAAGAGCAGCGCGAACAAGAACTGAGTAGAATGCTAAAGGGCATAGTGACTGTTCCAAGTTTGTCTGAAACGCATAAAAGGCGACCAAGGAGAAAGTTAATTCACTTGCTAGTCCTCCATTTTATATGACTACATCACTAGTGCTGTCTAGTTCTTGGTTTGTGCTGATAATGTATAATTTTGGGCTGTTTATTTTACCCCTTTTAAGTTTTAACTGACCTTTATCTCTGTATTGTGGTTCCAGAGTAGTATAGAGCGATTGGCTGAAGAGGCAATCAGTTACTTCGAGGAGTGTGTTTCAATTTCAACATTAGATAGCACTGATTTCTCCTCACTCGAAGAACCTCATCCAAATTCAAGTGGGACTGTCCCACCAAAGAGCAACAGTAGATTTCTCCTGAAAGGGGGATCAAGCCCTTTAGAATCCCACTTTCCAACTGATCGACACAATTATAATGAGGTCAGTGAATCAATATACCACACTTGGAGTCTTGATTTTCAAGTTTGACCATCAAGTTTCTTTTCTTACAACGACTAGTGGTAGTACACTTTATTAAGACTGTCAAGAACAGCCTGGCTACTGTTTTAGAATTTATTCCTGTATTACATGGTCTACAAATGGCAATATGCTAAGAGCTCTGATCATCTGCTTCTGGGGTGTTGGTGCAGAATATCTATTAACCATTTCAGAAAATGTAGAGAAATAGAGAGAGAAAAAGTAAATTGTGAAGATGCGTTTGAAATAAAACTGTAGAAGCGCACTATGTGAATCTGCTCATTTTTATAGCTTAGAGGTTCCATGAGAACCAACCAAGTGTACCTCAACTGTGGTGATCTTGAAAACTCAACTACAGGATGCTTTATTTTCATATATTAGAATCTGATAGGTTCATCATTCTCTGTGTTTGTCATCCATTTGCAGTGGTGTTCTTATTCATAGGATTGTCTACATTTCAACTTTGAATCTTAATGGATTCATATGATAATACAAATGTTTAACTTTCTCACAAGGCATTTTGGCAGACCGAGATTTATGCAGATGGTTTGAGTAAATCTCAACCACACATTAACAAATCCTTTTTTTCTCCTCCCAGGAATCTGACAACCAAACCCAGTGCTCAATGAGCATCACGGGATCTGATGTGTCTGACAGTGTTGTCTTTAGTCATGCCAAGTCCCCTGGTTTGGGAACTAGAAACAATTCTAGCGATGATTTTGATGGCTTTGACACACCACGAAGCAAAAGTTCTTGTTTCTCTTTCAAACATGAGCGAGCGAAAGCTGTCGACAAATGTGATGTTCGTCAATATCTAAGGAGTTTCAGCAGAGTAATCAGCAAAGAGAGGTCAAATTATTGTGCCGATGACTATGCTGTCCAGAAAGTGAGCGAGAACAGACTAACCGACATGGTGGCCTTTAAGAACCAGATAGAATATGGGGGCCTTGTTCTTTGTAATATCAGAACATTCTGAGAGCAAATAGTGTCTGAATGTCTGATGGTAAAAGAAGTAATGTAATTATATCCAATCAATATGGAAAAAAAATTTGTCCAAAAAAGAAGGTTTTATTGCTTGCGCCTCCGGGGCGAGATAATGCATACTAGTTTTTATGAGGTAATATCAACAGGAGTCATAGAACTTGCGCTCGTATCCGCGTGTATGGCCCCACCTGTCAGTGAGTGTTGATGCTTGGATGACATTTTTTTTTTGGCAAAAAAACACCCTTGTATTTTTTTATTCACGGAAAAAGCCGACCACAACTACACATCATTTTTTACAGAAAAAACAAACCACTGTACTGCATGAATCTTACATTCTTAAGAAGTTGCTCCCCACTTCTACCCATTCTCTCAACATGCACACTGTACACATCAGCTCCATGCCACATCAGCGTTCATTTTTTTATTTTTTATTTTTGCCAAGAGTAGCCATCTCCCGAGCCTTAACTACCTAGAAAAAATAAAAGAGAATAATATCTTTCCCTGCAACCGACCGAACAATTATTACTCGATCTCTATTCCTCCCCGTCTCTTCGTTACTCCAATCTCATCCCTTCCCCTTCTCTCGGCCCTTCCCTCGATTTCCTTCGCCGCCGTTCACAGCAGCCCCCGCAGCTATGGTTGTTCTCATCTATGTTCAGATCCAAAAATACGCCAATTTTCTTCCCCGGCTACAGTAGGCCGCGGTGGCTGGGAGCTCCTCTGACAGGATGGCGGTCCAGCTTGCCTCCACGGCTCTCTGGGATTCTATCGGGCCAGGCTCCCCTTGCTGTTGTGGTGCCATGCATCTACGAGACGGTGATCCCTCACCTCCCCTCTGTATCTCCGTTTTGTACAAGGTAGCTCTGGTGTTGCGAGGGCTATGATTCCAACCAGATTTCGACCAGGCGCTGGTGAGATTGGACTCCGAAGTAGGCTTTCGTTGTCGTCTATCTGGTGCAACACCAGACTGTGGTTCAAATCCGCCGATGAGAGGCACCTCCACGAGACTACTCTCGCGTCTCTACCGACCGCACCGCCTCGAACGCCCGCTGATCCGTCCACCTGCGCTGGCGTGCCAGACACTGACCGGATCCTTCCTATGGTCAAATGCTTGCCTTCTCATCTTCTCCAATAACTGAGACCAATGGAGATATCTGAAACTGTCGGTACACACTCAATCGGCACCTGAGGAGACACGCAATCGACTTTACCTTATCCTCCTTGATACACATCTAGCCAGTAAGTTCCTTATCTAGCATCTGCACAGATTCTCTTAACTCTGCTGAACTTGCATATAGCACACACAACCGGTGTCCTAATCTCCTCCATGTTAGTACATGATATCTGTGTTGTGTGGCGTCAAGCTAAGCACAATGGCATGGATCTCATATGTGGATATCTTCTATTGCTCATTCCTTAGTGTTTCCAATGCTGACTTCATCCTCTTTTTCAGGTTGAGTATCCCAATCATCACATATTGAAAGTTACATTGGACACATATATAGTTCCTGAACAATTTCTAGTTTTTCTTTGGTGATGTACTTTTATCTGTTAGTTTGCATCTCAATTATGGTCTTGGTTTTGTTTTCAAGTTTATAATTGCGAATTTCCATACAATTTGCAATAACTTTTCTTTTACATAATATATTCACCGTGCCCGAGTCCTCCATCGACGGAAGACTGCGCAGGATGGACTGATCAACGATGTGGTGGTTGCTACACCAGTCCGGTACCTCCACAAGGAGAAGGAGGAGTTCAGTTGAGGTGAGAACAGAGGCTTGGTATTTCCCATGTTGACTGATTGGATCATACATTGAATCAATGCGGAATCCTAATGTCTCTTTCTTTGAGGTTTCAGTCAAGGCTACGTTTCAAAGCTAATCATTTTTTCCAAACATCTGTGTGGACTAGATTAATCAGGTCAGTTGACCACTAATCTATTTGTTCACGTTGATTGTATCACTATGGTAGTTATTCTCCTGCCGAACTAACAAATCATTCTTCATTTGTCTTTCTCTAATATACTAGCTATACGACATACTTTCTTTTGTAGAGGACGAGTGACACTGCCATGCGCTACTTGCAGCTGCTGCCTTTTCTCCCTCAAGCATGGGAATCGCTGGTGTGCCTACGTGAACCCACACCACAGTAGGTCTTTGTTCTCCAATGAGTATCTATAAGCCGTAAATTTATTTGTGTTCTTTTCCATGATACGCACAGGTGGTGCTTGGACAGGGGCATGAGCCTCACATGAATCGCACTACCATTTTAAAATCTGATGAATTTATTGACTTATGGCTTTATGCTTTACATTCTTATCTGAAACTTTTGCAAGCTTTCTAGATTGATGGAGGACGTGTTCCAAAATGTCTGTTATCTACCAAATTTAAAAATTGTTGATAATGTAAAAATGTCTCTCTTTTGTAGTATTTCGAATATTTGCCAGTTCTCACTATCTTTATTCACCCTATCGAATTATAATTCTTAGTTCCCCCTTATCTCCAATTTTCAGATAAATGCTCTTTTTTATTGACAGTGACTCGAGCATAGCACCTGTGTTGTAGTGTTATATAATAGGAAATACAAGGAAATAAACAGAAGTGAGAAGAAACATGTACCCAAAAGGAAGTTTTGGATTCAAGTGAAATCCCCTTTTCCCAAATATAGTTACTGATAGCATTTTTTTTTTGTTTCATATATGGCAATCATCTAATGTATCTGCCACCATTCAGGTTAAATAAAAAAATTGGACGGGGAGAGCAAACTTGGTACACTAAAGGGCAACCTGGTGCATGTAGCTCCCGCTTGCGCAGGGTCCAGGGAAGGGTCCGACCACTATGTATTCTTTTTTCCTTCGACGGCTTCAGGTCATGTGTCGGTCATTCATGTTTGGTGGTTTCTGATTGTACTTCAGAAGAAAAAAATTAGTGACTGCCATATCCTACATATGCGTGTACATAATACCAAAAGATGTAACATACTCATTTTGTTTTTAGGTATGCAGGTATTTTGTAAATATTATATCTAAATGTGATCTAGATTGTAACAACTTTTGTGAGCATCTAAATGTTCCAGTTGTCATTACAAGCTTTCAGCCAAACCTTAGGAGTGACATGAAAAGTTGACTTTATTATTTATAGTTTTTTAGGTAGACTTAGCTTCCGGAATAGTCAAAACATGAGCTGATAGCATATACATGTCGCTTCCACATTAGTACATTATTTGCTCTGACATGTATATAGTATATTTGGTTTGTTCCCTTGCAAATTCATTGCTTGAGATTCATGCCGCAACGTGCGGGGAAACAAATAATAAGAATTAAATAATTATTAAATTTGTTATTAATGAAGCTTAATATGATCAACTGATGTTCTCAAATTTAAATCTTTTGCAATATATCAACGTGCCAACACGGCAACAATGCACTTATCGACTATAACACCCTTTTTTTCTCACTTTTTGTATCATTCTACCAAATGTTGAAACAAACATATAATTATATATTCATTTTACGGTTATTTAGCGCTTCGTAACTCCACCTATAAGGTGCTACAAATTGCCGCAGCGCGGGGCGTTATCTAGTTAACACAAAAACCGGGTACGCGTGGAATCAATGTCGCGACCAGCGCTTACAACACTGGCCAGTTTAGCCACTCCACCAAACATTCACATGTCTACTGTTGATAACAAATATGTCTACTGTTTATAAATTTCAGTAATAAAAATAATCTTTAGATGTTAATGTGTTATAAATATTGTATATCCAAATGAAATAACCTACTTCTAAAATTGTTCATGTATACTTTAAAATTTAAATTTTGATATGAATATTCGATCGTGTCTAACATTTAAATCATATTTTTTTTAATATAAGTCATGAGTAAAAATATATACAAGTGAATATTCATAAATATTTTGAATTCATAATTTTTTATAATTTAAATATAATCCGTGAATGTATAATTGTTTATGGATTCAGTAAAAATATTTATTTAATAATAAAATTCAATGTCCGCATTAGCTAAATACTCCCTCTGTCCCAAAATATAAGAACGTTTTTAACACTATACTAGTGTCAAAAACGTTCTTATATTATGGGAGGGAGGGAGTATTTTTTTATATAATACACAGCTTTATATTAAAATGTTTTTATTTACTACTGATCATTTATTTGTGTAATAATTTTAACACACAAATATTTGAACATAATTTTCTTACTTAAGTTTTACAAATTTCTTGAAAAGTATCTTAAATGTTTTTATTACTTACGTTTTACTAATTTTTTTAATAATACACAGGTTTATATTTAAATATTTTATTTACTAATAATCGTATTTATGTATAATATTTTTGACGCAAATATTTGAACAGTTTTTACTTACATTTTACTTTTTTAGAATACTTATGTTTTACAAATATACATAAAAATAGCGCGTGCAAAATGGGCCATTGTATCTGCAGCCTATATAGCTCCACATGCTTTTTCGTTTGTACATATACATTTCTTACGTAGTTGCTCAAAAAAGCTTACTTTCGTCTCCATAAACCTTGTGACGAGTTAATAAAAGCTTTGCGAGATTGTCTTAAAAAAAAGTTGCTCAATTTTTTTTGTTATCAGCTATAGACATGTGAACGTGTTTGGTGGAGTGGCCAAACTGGCCAGTATTGTAAGCGTGGGTCGCGAGGTTGATACCTGGGGCACCAATTTTTTGTGTTAATTTGTGCAGTACAATGGTTTGTTTTTCTGTAAATAAAAGAACATGAGGGGATTTTTTGCAAAAATGCATCTTTGTGGTTGGTTTTTTCTGAATAAAAAATACAAGGGTAGTTTTTTTTTTTGCAAAAAATGCATCGTCCGAGTGCCACCACTCACTGACTGATGGGACCATACACATGAATACACCTACATAGTCATGTTGTGACCGTATGTGCACGTTTGAGTCAAGTTAAGTGACTGCAATTTCGTATCGTTAAAGTTCTAGCACCAAACTG